CCCTGAACCAAAGCCGCACCCGCTCCTCGGCTGCTGTGTGCTACACGCCCAGGCTCAGCCAGGGGCAAGGCCCCTGCGCAGGACAAACCCGGCAGCACTGTTCCCTGGTCTCCACTGTTCACACCGCACACCCCACTCCCCAGCAGATAATGTCACTTCGAAAGCCCTGTCGCCCACACCCAACCACTGCCCACCTCCTCCCACCGCAGCCACATCAGCATCCTTCCTACCTGGACAACCGCACGGCTTCCTAATTGTTCTCCTTTAGCCTGGTCCCCTCCATCTATACTCTGCACAGTCAGCGCATTAGAGCGACAGTAGGATCATGCATTCCTCTCCTCGAAACCCTCAGAGGCTCCCCATCGCGTGTGGAATAGTCCAGGTCCTCCCTGGGCGGGTTAAGTGCTTCATTCCCTGCTTCTCACCCCCTCTCTGGCTTCCTCCCTGACATTCCCTTCCACTCATCCCTCCAGCAAGACTGACCCCGTCGCCCATGCACTCCGCACGTCTCCTGCCAAAACACATTCCCCAACATCAGCACAGCTCAGGGCTGCTCCAACCTCACCTCCGCCGAGAGGCCTTCCCTGAATGCTCTGCTGAGGCGGGTGCCAGCGGTCCATCTGACTCCTGACTTCCAGAAACGTGTCCGAGCCTCCCCACTATTCCATCACTTTGTCCTTGCGGTTCAATACCTTTTTACCAAGTGTTTTCTTTCATTCTCATGTTGGAGGTTGGAAAGGAGAAGGGTGAATGTGTGTGCAATCTTCCACATTTAACGAGGAGCTCTGGGGCTTCCATTTTAGCGCTTCTGGGCACCGGCCCAGCAGGAAAATTACTCCTGTTTCACATGTGGTAACGATGCTACATGCCATCAAGTACACCAGCCTGAATTAACATCGATCGAGGCTGAGGTCCCGACTGAAGACCTTTGTGAAATATGGATCTCGGTTGCTTTGCAAGGATGCCTTTGTGGCGCACGTGAAATGACTTAACGATGCTGGGCTCTGGGGAGAATACGCCTTCCAAAATGCAGAAGCAGACACTCACCTCCCCACATACTGTGGAGACTGAAGCTGTGAAAAAGGAAACTGGCAGCCGGGAAAGCTGACCTGGAAGCGCACAACTATGGCTGGTGTGTGCAATCTTCCACATTTAACGAGGAGCTCTGGGCTTCCATTTTAGCGCTTTTGGGCACCGGCCCAGCAGGAAAATTACTCCTTTTTCACATGTGGTAACGATGCTACATGCCGTCAAGTACACCAGCCTGAATTAACATCGATCGAGGCTGAGGTTCCGACTGAAGACCTTTGTGAAATATGGATCTCGGTTGCTTTGCAAGGATGCCTTTGTGGCGCACGTGAAATGACTTAACGATGCTGGGCTCTGGGGAGAATACTCCTTCCAAAATGCAGAAGCAGACACTCACCTCCCCACACACTGTGGAGACTGAAGCTGTGAAAAAGGAAGCTGGCAGCCGGGAAAGCTGACCTGGAAGCACACAACTATGGCTATGTCTACCTCCAAAACCCAGCATCTAATAACGTAAAACAGGTCACTTCCTGTCTACTGATATATAAGGAAATACACTTTTAGCCAGGTTTAGTGTGAGTAAAAGAGAAATGGAAAAAATTGGGATAAAATGAGTTCATCAATGTCAAAACCAGAAGTATCCAAATGATATGTATTTGACACACAAACAGAATGTACAGTTTTCGCAATGCTGTGTAGAAATCAGAGGTGAAATTCAGCAGGCGCCCCAATGTTTGGGAGCCGGGGTGGGGTAATGATCAGAAAGAAATCAAAGATGACATTTTAAGTGTAAAACTAGGTAATTACAGAAGCAGGAAGAAAGTACAAGTATGGAAAAGATCTTAAAAGGCTTCAAATAAGACAAAAGGAATCCTATATAATAAAAGGCCAGAGGCATCACCACCGAAACGACCAAAGACCAGACCACCATGGCCCCTCGTGAATGGAAAAAATTGGGATAAAATGAGTTCATCAATGTCAAAACCAGAAGTATCCAAATGATATGTATTTGACACACAAACAGAATGTACAGTTTTCGCAATGCTGTGTAGAAATCAGAGGTGAAATTCAACAGCGCCCCAATGTTTGGGAGCCAGGGTAGGGGAACGACCAGAAAGAAATCAAAGATGACATTTTAAGTGTAAGACTAGGTAATTACAGAAGCAGGAAAAAAGTACAAGTATGGAAAAGATCTCAAAAGGCTTCGAATAAGACAAAAGGAATCTATATAATAAAAGGCCAGAGGTATCACCACCAAAACGACCAAAGACCAGACCACCAAGACCAGACCACCACGGCCCCTTGTGGGCTGGCCCCAACCCCAAGCAAGCGGTTAGGGGCAATCAGGCAGGCAGGCAGAGTGGTTAGGGGTGATCAGGTAAGCAGACCAGCGGTTAGGGGCAATCAGGTAGGCAGACAGCCCCTCGCAGGGCTGGCCCCACCCCCCAGCAAAGAAAGAGGGAGGCCACTGGT